AGCTTCCCATTTACTCCAATGAGAGGTGCTTTGTATAAAAAACAGTGTTAGCTTGTACCATCAAAACCTTGGACAGCTTTCCTTTTACTAGTCAGAAAACTAAAGATTATTCTGAATACTACTGTCTTGAATGAATGAGCATAATTTCTCACAGCTTTCGTGAGACTGCTGAAAGCAGAGTGATTAGTTCTGTAACCCAGCCCACACTCCACTTTAGTATTTTGCATTACTTGGCACCACTGGAAGTGATGTCCGTGGCGCACCAAGAAGCCTACTCTGGCATAATGATTTCTCCATGCTTCAGCACATGGCCTTGGCGTTAATAATCCATCATGAGATGATTTGCAATGCACAGGGGTGGCATTGGGTTATGTGAAAAGGCATAGCAGGAGAAGCACATAGGCTCTTATAGAACAGATGCTGGAAAAACATGGTTAAATGTTATATGGTGAAAAGAACATGTAAGATGGTTTTTGAACTGACAAAGAAACAGTGTAAGATATCATCTCTAAAGAAATTTTTATTCTTCTTTTCTTTCCTGGTTTTTCTTCCCTCAATCATGTTTTGGAAGGACAAATGCGTTAAGGGGTGGCCAACCACCCAAACACATTTCAAAATGTATTTGATTCAGGAAGTTCTGGATCTTTTAAAGCAAGGATGTTAACAATCCTCCTGAGAACCTTAAACTATGATGATTTAAACACAAGGAAAAGGAGACTTTGAAATGATCAGAGAAGTCATTCAGAGGCCTCCCTGCTGAGGAGTTTTCATTTTCATTTTTTTTAAGACCATAAGGAGGATGTTGGATCCACCACCTAAGGGAAGTCCTATCATCTGAGTCAAAATTTATGAGACAATAGGAAAATTCATAATTCTCATAGTGGCTTAAACAAAAACAAGAGCACTAAAATTCTTAGATTCATGGTCTCGAGAAGTATTTTTATATGACAAATGCATTCCATTTTAGATAGATTATAATGAGTGCATTTATTGACTGTAAACATAATGCATGCCTGGGTACAAATACAGTCATCATTGGTTATTCATGGCCATGAGAGTGAGAGGAAAGTTATGCACAAATGAAATCCAGAGAGAATGAGGGGGTCCTAGATCAATTATTCTTCATTGATTCACTTCCAGTACTTTAGCCATAGATATGAACAAGATAATGTTAGTTTATTTCAGGGTTATTGAGCCTTTGTAGCCCTACATGAAAAGTTAAGTGGATATCTTTGCAGATTATTGATTACATAGGAGAGTAAAAACCTTAAGTTATTCTTGGGTTTGTTTTTCATTCATTTGAGTATTGATTTAATAAAATTTATTAGGCTATTACTATGTGAAAACAGCAGTGCTTGAGATTATGAGGGTCTTAGGGATATGGGTCCCAGCCCTGAAGCGTCTATATTTTATTGCAGAGAGAAAACACAGGCATACATTACCTTAGCATAAGGTGCTAATAGAGAGCAAGTAACTGCTTTGGGAAATCTGAAGAGGTAGTCTGTTTCCAACAGAATATTCAGAGCATATACATGGAAAATATTCTTGTGTGGAGGCCTAGAAAGTGGGGCAGGAGGACTGACTGTTAGGTCACAGTGTGAGTATGGGGATGACTAGAAGAGATCAAGACATGGAGTGTGGGGGAGTTAGGCCAAAGCATCAGTGTCAGGAAAGGGATTCCAGGAGATAAAGCCTGGACGAGAACTGCTGAATAGTTTATTACTGCAGAGAGATTTAGACTTCAATAAGATAATGGCAACCACTAGTTTTCTTCTCTAGTCTAATTTTTTCTTTGGAAATGATTTTTGGAAAAAAGTTATAAAGATAATATAGTTTCCTACTAGCTAGAAGGTTTTTAAATGTTTTAGTTTTATTTTTTTAATCGAGCACGTGTGTGTGTGTGTGTGTGTGTGTGTGTGTGTGTGTGTGTGTGTGTGTGTGTCTATGTGTATGTGAGTGTAGGTCAGAGGCCAGAGATATCAGATCCCACTGGAGATGGAGTTATAGGTGGTTGTGAGCCACTTGATGAGGGTGCCGGGAATTGAATTTATATCCATTGCAATAGCAGTTCCTGCTCTTAATCACCTAGCCATTTCTACAGACCCCTTGTGGGTTTTTTTTAACATAGTGATATTTTTTGTAGTATGTTTGTATTGTACTCCTATGACTGTATGACTTGTCTTATAAGTATTGAGGCACATAACTTTTCAAAATTTCTATTTTATTTTTTATTAATCAGAAATTCCAAAGACATCTTTCTTATTTACCTTTCTTTCTTTCTTTCTTTCTTTCTTTCTTTCTTTCTTTCTTTCTTTCTTTCTTTCTTTCTTTCTTTCTTTCTTTCTTTCCTTCCTTCCTTCCTTCCTTCCTTCCTTCCTTCCTTTCTTTCTTTCTTTCTTTCTTTCTTTCCTTCCTTCTAGTTTTTCTAGACAGGGTTTCTCTGTAGACCTGGCTGTCCTGGAACTCACTCTGTAGACCAGACTGGCCTCAAACTCACAGAGATCAGCCTGCCTCTGCTGATTAAAGGTGTGAGCTATCACTGCCCGGATATATTTTTTTCAAAGACATAGGTTTGGGTTTTGTTAATCAAATTTGCTGGGTTTTGACCCATTTCAATGTCACTGGCCTTAAAGTTTTCCCAAAAGCTACTTGTACACTCGAGATATTCAATATATTAAAAACAAAAACAAAAACCAATGTTTAAATGTAGTATCAAAAACAAAAACAAAAATCCTTCAATCTACCTTTTAAACAGAATGCCCTACTCACTCATTCTGTCCACATTTTCTGGAGTCTCTGCTGCTGCCTCTCTTCCTTGGCTAGTAACTAAAGCTAAAATTGAGATTTTTATCCCAACTTCCCAACTCTCAGCCACATTTAAGTCCTTTTATGTTCTCTGTTGATGACATTGCCTATGCGGCTCTACCACCATAGATGTCCATGACTCACTCACTTTCTGAAGCTCTTGGTCTTAGCTTCATTTAGTTCTAAAGCATCTCCATGCTTCCTCCAGAACAGTCTTTCAGAAACACATCTGAATGTGCTGTTCACGTTCAGGGTTCTGATTTACCTAGTATAGAACCTGTACCCCTTTGCAAGGTGTGATGGCCAAGTGTCTAAATGCTATCTTCCACAAGTTCTTCCCACAGTTACACTTTGATAATCCTAAAAATGCTTGTGGTTTCCTCTTTTGGTGTGCCTTTGCACACGCTATTCCTTATAATGAGAACATTTTATCTTTCCCATCTGGATAAGATACCTTCAACTGTACACCTCAGCTTCAGTTTACATTCCCCAATAACCCCTAACATCTACACTGCATGGCTTTTCTAGCCTGTTTCTTAAATTATGCATTTCTTGGGCCAGTGAGATGGCTCAGCTGGTAAAGGTGCTTGCCACTAAATCTGATGACCTGAATTTGAGACCCAGGACTCACATGATGAAAGGAGAAAACTGACTCCCACAAGCTGTTCTCTCACCTTCACATAAGCACATGTATTCACACACACACACACACACACACGCACATGCACGCGCGCGCACGCGCACACACACACACACAAATATTGTAATTATTTAAAAGTTTTAAAAGCTTAAAAACATTATAATCTTCCCTCACTATACAAAGCAGATATACCAGGCAATAAGATAAAATGGAGTGAAATAATTAATTCAAAGGGAGAATATAGGTAGAAATGAAAATAACACCAGGTATGAAGATAGCTTTAAAAAATTGAGTTCTGTACACCTGTAAACATACATGATAAATGCATACACTGAAAGTTTTTATCTGGACTTCTAGCTACCAAGGCTCAAAAGGAAACTTGGCTTTGTCTACGTTTCCATATGTTAGAAATGAAGCACCACTGTTAGGTCCTGAATGAGGGGTGGTTTATTGCACTGAAGGAGAACTTACAGAAAGGACTGGTAATTTTAGAAGTTCCCTTGCTTGTGCTTGCAGTGACCCTTGAATATAACTCCGTAATTACTACAGCTTTTTTTTACATTGATTTCCTAAGGGTATAGACCATATCCTCAGCGTGCTTGATATTCCCTAGTGACTCGCTGGATAACCAGATGTTGATTGTAATATAGGCCAATGCTTTGCATCAATATACAATCAGAAATGTCTACATTTACACACAAAGAGAAAAAAGTGTAACAAAATGGATGAGTATTATAATAATGATATTTGGAAAGCCTATAGTCTAGCAGATATATCATGCTAAACACATGGAGAGAGTACTTTCTATGACTTCTGGCCAATCCTGTGAGTATTTCCCATCTCAAAGCTGGGAAAAATTGAAAGGTTAAATATGTTTTTCAGGGGATTACAAGCAGACAGAGGCTGAATCTGGGATAAAGACAGGTACTTGGTCTCTGCTCTCAACTTTCTGCTGTTGCTCTATTCTTTGGTGTGGAGTAGACTGGTGGCATTGATTTATATATTTTATATACATATTTATTTGTTTATTTAGCTAGTTTTGAGACAGTTATTATGTAGCCCTAGCTGGCCTAGAACTCTATGCAAACTGGGCTGACCTTGAACTCATAGAGATCCACTTGTCACTGCCTCCTCAGTGCTGGATTAAAGGCATATGCTACAAGGATAACCAAATTGATTAATACTTAATTACAACAAAATCATGGTACTGCAGCCTTTCAACTGATAGAAAGGCCCTGATGGAAGGCATTGCCACTGTTTTCTAGTTCTATACAATTTTATTCCAAAATTTTTTTGAAGGAAAAGGCAACAGCTATCTTGGAAATGAAAGGCTACACTATAAAAATTTGTTTTCTGTAGAAGTATCAGGGCACATTCCATTATAAACCACTTCTTTCTTTTTTAAATTGGGGCATTTGACTGATTTTTCCAGTATATTTGATAGGCTATTATTCAGCTTTATTTACTATATCCAAGAAAACTCACAGCTATTTTGTGAGAAGGTAACTGCTCTAGCCCAGTTATCTTTTGCTAACAAGGGGCTGGCTGTTCTTACCTGAAAGTTGCCAAAGCAACTCCCTCCAGGGAGAGTCACGTAGCTCACAAAGGGAGGTCCGGAGGAGGGCATTGACTCATAGACCACCAGGCCTTCACTGGAAAACGTGGCTCTCTGCTGCTGCTTACTTTCCCAAAATTCCTGTAATATTGACACAACATTCACTGCAAAAGACAAGAAATAGCATCAGTTATAAATGAGGGGTTGCTTTCAACTGTGAAGACACTTTAGTTAAGCATATGTAAAGAATGTTAACATATATAACTTTAACATGTATTTCCTTTGTAAATTACATTTTAATTTATTTTGTGTATGTGTGTGAGTGAGGGGGGGCATGTACATGTGTTGGCACCTGTATAAAGGTCAGACGATAGCTTTGGGGAATTGGCTCTCTCTTTCTATTATGTGGTTCCCAGGAATCAAATTCAGGTTGTCAGGCCAAGTGGCTGAGCCATCTGACTGGCCTGTGGGTACATTTCTTAATGAATAGGACTCAAGTGGTTTTAGTACCTCAATTCTAACAAGGTTGCAGTATATCAAATTTATTTTATAAATTATATTAATATCAAAATTTAAAATCTGACCATTCATCTCTGAAATTTTGCCTTAGTAGACTTTTCCAGACCTGTGATTATCTATACCCTGTATCCAATTTCTCAGATTCAAACCTGAAAAGAGAAAGCCACACTGTGAAGTAAAGACGTAAGCAATGTAATATTAATCTGGACTCACTATTCATATGAAATTTAGAAAGGAGGAAACTCTTTTATGTTCCCTCTACCCCAATCTAAAGGAGAATCAAAGGCAACTGTCAAATAAGCAAGAGGCTGGAAAAAGCCACGAGTGAAACTAATAACATGGAGTCTTGTGAAGACAAGGTCTGTTAGATGATTTTGGAAAATGCAGGGATGGTGAGGGCCATGTGTTTTAGATTAAATGACCTGTGATAGCCTGCAGAGGTTCCAGATCAAATTAGGCTGGTTTGTTTATCCTGTACTGCAAATTGAATTGGGGAAATTAACAAGGATAATAGAATTGTGGAGTCAAAAGTGACCTTATGAGTCATGTCGGCTAAGCTCTGCCTGACGCGGGAATTCCTGCCCAGCACTGCTTCCAGACAGCTGTCAGTCTTGCCTGTACCTGCATTTGCCACACTTGACACAGCCAGTTTCAATCGCTGATGTTTCTGTGGAAAGGTGAGCTGAAGTCTGCTTTCCTTTAAGATTTTTGCAAGGAATCTACCCGTCTTTCTAGAGAGCTCAGTGTATTTGAAGGCAGCATTAGATAGATATCTGTCAGTTTTGTTTATGGGGCATTTGCTCAACTTTCATGTGTGACTAGGACAAAAGGTTCCCTTGAAGTATTATATAGTCTTTACGGTTGGGGCTGGAGATTTGACCAAAGCTTATGGATTTAGAGGCAACAGTCCAAGACGTTTTTTGGAAATTCTCTTTTGTCATGTGTGGGTTGGAGGAAGAGAAGTAAGTACAGCACTGCCCAGTCAAGAAAGAAAGATGGCTTGAGAAGAAAGTGGACACAGAGAAGGGCAGCAGAGGAGATGGAGAAGAAAAGACTAAATGCTGCTGACATCGGTTGTGCAACAGTTGAGTCCAGCTTTGCACAACCCAGCTCCTTGCTTTACAGTGAATTATCTGCAACAATTCACCCACTTTTCTCTTGAGCACCTTTGAACTGCTCCTTCCTGCTTGCATCTTAAAGTGCAGTGATGCAGGGACTGTGGGTTAACTCAGTGACAGAGAGCTTGCCTAGCAAGATGAGGCCCTGGGTTTTCTCCAGTACTGAAATACAGTTTTGTGTGTTTCAAAATGCTGAACATTGACTTTTTCCTGCAGTGTCACAGAATTTGAACTAACAGCAAAAGCACTGTTTCCAAGACGATAAGGCTCTTACACCTTCTCCTTAGGTCTCTGATAAGCTCATGATGTGCCAGGAAAGTTCCCAAGTCTTCTAAGGAATTGGATACCTTTGTAGCTTAAAAAACTAGTTTAATATTCAAGTGCCCTGGGAAATATTTGAGAAAAGATAATCTTAACACAGAAAAAAGTGGATTAATATGTGTGGAAGGGATTAAGTTGAGAATTGGTGAATATAGAGCTATTAATTTGTTTACAAATTTAAAATAGTGTTTTATACCAGTTAATAAAGCTCAAAGTAGAGATTAGATATTTTTATGTGTTTAACTGTTTCTGGTCCACATCCTTTTCTCCCTTCCAGTTCTGAGAAGACATAGATTAAGAATCCAGTTTAGGTCTCTACATGCAATTGACCCTCTGGATTCATCAAGAGAGATTCTGAATCCTGAAGCCTGAAATGGAAACCAGTGGCCTTTTGCTGCACTAGTCAACAAAGATCATTACCTTCGAGTTCTAAGTTCATCTTTGAATGAGATTGTTCTGATTGGAGTAGGAAACTGAAAACTCATAATTATCTAGGTAGGATAACCCAAGAATTTTGGCCCACATAAATTATTTGAGTTAAAGAGTTTGAAAGTATGAATTCAGATTTCTGCATGAATAAAAAGAACAGCTTTTGAATTTTTCATTATGCAACCATGAAAGATTCCTTTGATGGTACTCCACATGTCATCACCCTGAAAAGTGCAACATATGTGCATGAGCATAGACAATGCATAATTCTATCTGTAATTCCTCTTGTGACTGGAAATCAGGATAAATGGAGTACAGGACAAAGAAGTCCAGTTTTGCTGTTTGCAACTCTAAAGGTCAGTTATATAAGAGGGTGTTCTATTTATAAAACACACACTCTTTTTTTAGGTAACATCAGTAAGGTTTATAGACTATTTCAAAGAAAATATGAGAAGAGGATGAGGACTCTTTACATAGTTTAGTCTCTAGATGTCTCAGCCCCAAATCCTGCCCTCCTCATGTTACAAAATAAACTTGAGCTACCAAGTGTGTGATACTCATCTCTACATCTAGGGACTCATCTCTGTGTGTGCCTAGCTCTCTAAGAAATAATTCATGCTCTTTCTCCTGGGTGTTGTTTCCTTAGTCATACTCCTGACCTATTTTTTAAATGCTTACTCTTTTGCTTATTGCTTCTCAGCAGCCATAAATGTGCTTGAGATAATGAATGAATAATAAGATAATCAATTAAATACATCACCTAACCTTGGAACTATTTGTGGTTACTGGTTATTGAAATTTTTGTGTTACAGTCAGGCTGCTAGTAAGAATATCCTATGATTGTCTCTGCTTCCCTAATGTTCCTTTTGGTTTTTTGTCACCATAACCTGTCTTCCTTCTATACTAGCCCAGTGAAATACTTTGACAAATATTGCCAGTTCATGATTTTCAGGCCTCATTTATTTGACTTCTTAGCTAATAGTACATATTTCTATCTGTATCTCCTCTTGTGGCTAGTGGTGGACAGTACACATAGTGTGAACTATGCGTGTTGTATTCAGAACCTAGGTTGCAGTGAAGTCATGTGATACAACACAAACAAGCAGTGCTCTGAGCACCCCGGATTCAGTATGCATTTGATTTTAAATTAACTTTTGGTCATTGCATATTAAAAAACCCTTTGCTGTTGCCAATGGTTTTTGCCACCCCCACATTCAGTTGACTTCACATGGGGTCACCACAGCAGTTTGAGAAGCTGTGGTCTATGACATATTGTCTAAAGGTCTGCATTATTTCTCTCAAAGTTTAGTAAGGTTCCTTTTCCAGTCTCTACTTTCTCTCAATGGACACTAGAACAAAAATGGTTTTATCAACAGCCAGGACAAGTTAATCAGTCACCTGTTGAATCTGGACACTAAACAGGAGGGTGCTAGTGACCCTTGGCTGGACACCTGGAGAAAGCATATGGCGGGGGAGGGTGGGAGGAGGGCTGACTACAAACTAGGCCCTCCGAATGTGGGTGACAATTATGTGGCTTGATCTATTTGTGGGGCCCCTGGCAGTGAGACCAGGATTTATCCCTGGTACATGAACTGGCCTTTTGGAGCCCATTCCCTGTGGTGGGATACTTTGCTCAGCCTTGATGCAGGGGGGAGGGGCTTAGTCCTGCCTCAACTTGGTATGCCAGACTTTGTTGACTCTCCAAGGGAGGCCTTACCCTCTCTGAAGAAAGGATGGAAGGTAGAGTGGGGGTGGAACGGGAGAAGCGGGGAGAGGGAGAACTGTGGTTGGGATGTAAAATGAAAAAAGAAAAATTTTAAATGAAAGGAAGGAAGGAAGGAAGGAAGAAAGGAAGAAAGAAAGAAAGAAGAAAGAAAGAAAGAAAGAAAGAAAGAAAGAAAGAAAGAAAGAAAGAAAGAAAGAAAGAAAGAAAGAAAGAAAGAAAGAAAGAAAAAGAAAGCACACAGGGACAGCTTGGCTGATATGGCACTTAACTGATGGATGCTAAGGGATAGAGCTGCCATAGAGAAGTATGAGTCCAATCACACAACTGTTCAGACCACGCAAAGTATTGTTTAGATTCCACATGAATGTGATGACTGTGGGATGGTCTGTATGTCAAATGTGTTGCTGATAGGTCAATAATTAAAACACTGATTGGCCAGTAGCCAGACAGGAAGTATAGGCGGGACTAACAGAGAGGAGAATTGAGAGAACAGGAAGGCGGAGGGAGACACTGCCAGCCGCCGCCATGACAAGCAGCATGTGAAGATGCTGGTAAGCCACGAGCCACATGGCAAGGTATAGATTTATAGAAATGGATTAATTTAAAATATAAGAACAGTTAGCAAGAAGCCTGGCATGGCCATACAGTTTGTAAGCAATATAAGTCTCTGTGTTTACTTGGTTGGGTCTGAGCGGCTGTGGGACTGGCGGGTGACAGAGATTTGTCCTGACTGTGGGCCAGGCAGGAAGACTCTAGCTACAAAGAGGATAATTTTATCTTCTTGGTTGTAAACCAAGGAGGACACAGAGTAGAATGAACCAGAGTTCATTGACTGAGGCAGCATTGTAAGAAGTAGGACGAAGAATGACTGGTTGATCCTAGAAACTATATGAAACCCAATTCTGTTTCACGACATTTATCATCTGAGAACATCTGAAAATAAAGGAATTGATTTACCTCTAATTTATGTTGTTTGTCAAAGTTCTTAATCCATCTCCCTGCCTTGAATTGCTTCTTTGGATGCAGTGATAAATCCCCTCAAGATTTTGAA